GGGGGCCGCACCCGGGCCTGAGCTGGGGCCTGGGCCGGAGCCGGAACCGGAACCGGAGCCCGAGCCCGGGCCACCGCAGCTCCGGGGTAGCCCGGAGGCCACCACCCGGGAGTAGATGTCCCGGAAGAGGCTCTCCATGCAGGCGGTCAGGTAGATGGCTGCGTGCTCGTGGATGCGCAGCGCCACGCGGCTGTCCACCATCCAGCGGTACACGCGGCCCACGGAGAAGGTGAGGCCGCAGCGCGCCGACTTCCCGCGGCCCAGGCGGTCGCCGCCGGCGCTGCTCATGTTATAGAGGGACAGGGCGGCCAGGGCGGCCGCGGTGCAGTGCGCAGCCAGGCTCCAGGACAGCACGATCTCCATGGCGCTCTGGATCTCATACTTGGTGCACTTGGCGAAGCGCAGGCTCAGGCGCTGCGCCTCTTTGGCGATGCGCACCAGCGCCCGGCTCACCAGCATCGATAGCTTGGCCAGCGCGTCCTTGGGCAGGCTGCCGGGGGGCGCCGGGCCTGCCCGGGGGTCCCGAGAGCGCAGCAGCAGCGCCTCCAGCTCCTGGAGGGTCCAGGGGACCTCGTCGAGGTCCGGCAGCAGCCGCGAACAGTGCTGGCCGGCGCAGTCCAGCCCCTCGGAGTCTTCCACCAGGGCAGTGTTGACCGTGTCAAAGCTGTTGTGCCGGCTGTGCATGGAGTCAGCTAGAGGCGGCCAGCAGCTCCCGCCATACGGGGACGACGCCGGGTGCGAGTCGGAGCAACACAGGGACAAGTTGGAGGAGCGCACCGAGTCCGCCGCGCCACCATAACCCGAGTCCAGCGTCAGATCCTCCAGCGTCCGCACCACCGGCTTCTTACCTCTCCTGGCCATCGCTGCGCCACTTCATGCTGCGGCCGCCGGGGGGTCGCGGGGGCTCCGCGGGCTCCGCGCTGGCTCGGCTCACTTTCCCACCGGGCGTCACTACTTTGGGCTGCCTCCCGCAGCCGCCGCCGCCGCCGCTGGAATTACACAGCCCGGCACGGGCGCTGTCGCCGTCGGCTCCCGTCCCCGCCGGAGCTGGGACGCGCTAGGAACGAGCCAGGCCAGCGGGGAAGCTCCCGCCGGGACTCGCCCCTGGCATTCCAAAAGAAAAAGTGTCCATCAAGCCCGCCCCTCCCTGGGGCTCGGGTGGGTCCAGATGCCGCCCGCCGCAGTGTGGGTACGACCCCCCCCCCCACCCACCCACCCCTCCCGCCCCAAGCCCGCCCCGGATGCCACCGCCGCAGCTCCGCGGGCGGCCGGCCCCGCGCTCGCCGCTCCCGCCCGCCCCGCACTGGAGCACTGGAGCTGCCCCAAGCCTGCCAAGCCTGCCCAACGCCAGCAGAGCCCAGGACGGCCCGGGGAGGGGGGGCGGGAGTATGCAAAGAAGGGCCCGTGGAGAGCCAATGGCATCGGAGGATGCTAATTGCCCTTCTTTTTAAATTCTTCCTGTCCACGCGGCCCCGCCCTCCGAACACGCCCCCTTCCTCCCTCACCCCCCCCCCGGGCCTTGACCAAAGGCTGCAGCTAGTGGGGAGCAGCGAGCGGCCCAGGAATTGGGGGGACGGGGGTGGGGGACCCGTGGGATCGTGGAGGCAGGGAGGCTGCCATCCTGGTTGCCTGGTGCCTTGTTCCTCGAGGGTGAATTCCCACACCGAGGTGGGATGTCCCCAGCGGTCCGCACCGAGTCTGTCCCTGGCTCACTTTCTGCTCCGGTGATTGATTTCGCTTCCCCGCCCCCCCCCATACCTGCAGCGGGTTGGGGGGGGGTGTTTTCTTTCTCCCTGTCTCCGCACTCCCCACCCCCTTTTGGTACCCAAACCAGTTCTTGTGACTGCTCCAGGCAGGCAAGCAATCGGAGGGGCCTGGGCCAGGAACGCCACCCCGAGGCCGAATCTCGGGACAGGAGCCACCTGCCGCCAGGACTCCCTAGGGAGTTATTATTATTGTTGTTGTTGTTGCTGCTGCTGCGAGGACCCTGTGCCAATCTTCCAAAGTCCTGGGAGATGTGCTGCAGAAAGGACTCACGTGCCACTTTGCCTGATGGGCAACCTGCCAACCAGCTCAGCTTTACAATTTTCCCTCTCTCCCTCTTTTTCTCCACACACACTCCCTCTCCCTGCTCCCCAGCCCTGGGGCTTGAACTCAGGGCTTAGTTGCTGTCCTTTAGCTTTTTCCCTCAAGGCTGAGGCTATACCACTTGAGCCATTTCCAGCTTTTTTTTGGGGTGGGGGCGGAGGGAAGGGTCTGCTTAACTGGATCCAGTTTGGTGTTGGCTTGGAACTCAAATCCTCAGATCTCAGCTTCCTGAGTACTTAGAATTGCAGATATGAATCTGTGATCGCCTCTGCTCTTTTGCTTTTGACTAAAGAAAAAATATGCACGACTTAGCTGCAGCTCTGTGTCAAGTGGCATTGCCTGGATTACTTGTGTGACAGCACACATCCTAGCAGAAACTACATTTTATTCATCTGGGAATCCCAGCACCCCTATACAGTTCCTCTTTTATGAGAAGTCTGCTCCTACAAGGGAAGCCTGCCCAGACTTCCCAATACTTGTTTGGTCCTTCTGCTGCTCCTCTCTCCTGTGACTGTGAATTTCTTGTCACATTGGTAGCTATAGACTGAGTATTTGCCTGGACTCTTCACTGTGAGGAGGTTTGCCATGCACAGGCCTAGCACAGAGGAAGAACCCACCTGCCTTTGAGCTGTTCGTTTGGACAGGTCTATGAAAAGATGTTTAACACCACCATCATCAGGGAGCTGCAAATCAAAACCATAATGAGCTGTCGCCTCACACCTGTTAGGATGGTGATTATCAAAAAGTCAAAGATAACAAGCGTTGGCAAGGAGAAAGGGTGCCTCTGCGTATGGTGAGTGGAATGTAAATTAGGATGGTCATTAGGGAAAATAATGCAGACTTTTCCTTGAAAAAATTTTAGTTAGAACTATGATTTGGCATCCTACTTGGGGATATCTATTCAAAGGAAACCAAAGAACTGTTTAGAGGAGCTGAATGCATCCTGTGTTCACTGGAGTCCTTTGCAGTAGTTAATGATGGAAACAAATGAAGAGTCTGTCACAGGAGAATGGAGATAGATAATAGATAGATAGATAGATCGATAGATAGATGATAGATAGATAGATAGAATCTCTCTATACAAATGTATACATATGCTGCCAAAATATCATGTTGTACCTCTTTACCACGCGCACTTTGTAATTTGTTGCTCAGACCTCAGCAAAGCTGGGAGTGAGGGCCAGTAGATTATCTGGTGTTTCCCTCGTATCTATGAGCCCCAACTCTGCCATCACACTGTAGCTACTACCATCCTAACATACGCTTGTTACCGCTCACTTTGACTATTAGTGATTTTCTACCCATCTTCTGCCTTTTTGTTCTCCAATCCACCCAGTCTGAAACTCTTCCAGCAGACCCATTCTCATTTTATCACATGAAAAAAATCGTGTTATCCAAACCAAATGTAAACTGGGCTATTATGACTCACATCTGTAATCCTACACATTCAGGAAGCTGAGATCTGAGGATCACAGTCCAAAGTCAGCCTGGCTGGAGAGAAAATAATCTGTGAGACTCCGATCTCCAATTTACCAGCAAACAAACAAGCAAACCAAATAAAACAAAACAGAAGTAGAGAGATGGCTGATAGAGTGCCAGTTTTGAATGCAAAAGCCAATTGAGAGTGTGAGGCCCTGAGTTCAAGCCCCAAAGTAACAGCAACAACAACAAAAAAGCAAAGACTGTCCATTGTTTTATAGGTTCACAAAATGCATACTGATTAGCTAGCTGGCCAGATCTGTTAACAAATATTCTATCCATAACATTGAAGCTTTTCCTAAGGGGTAATCTAATAGTCTGAACTCTGCCTCCTTCTCTGGCCTTATGAGCACACATATACTCCTACAGACACACACTCCTATGGACAGAAACACAGATACACACACACACACATACACACACACACACACACACACACACTCAGAGCAGTGATTATTCTGTAAACTATTTTGCATTCTTCTCAAAATGTTTCCTCCAAGTTTTATAGTAGAATCATTTCCCCATGCTATTAGATAGTCATCCAAAATACTCCTTTATTGTGGCTACAAAATATTCTCTGGGTATGCTTCAACCTTAATTAGAATACTGATTCCAAGTTGGTTGTTTCTGCTTATTATGGATAAGTAATGCTTGGATGAACATAAATAATGCTTCAATGCTATAAGTCTTATGTTTGTTATTGTCTAAGCAATACAGATAAGCACATGCTGAAGATTAAAAATGTTTAAATCCAAAAGCTAGGCATTGGTGGCTCATGCCTGTCATCCTAGCTACTCAGAACATAAAGATCAGGAAGATCAAGATTCAAAGTGAGCCTGAGCATACACTAGAGACCCCATCTCAATCAACAGCTGCAGGCAATGGTGCATGCCTGGCATCCTAACTATGTGAGAAGCAGAAAGAGGGGGATCTAGGTGCAAGCAGGCCAGGGCATAAACACAAGACTCTATTTTAAAAATAAAACTTTCTGGAAGCCTGGCTTACATGGCAAATCAACTGTTTTGTAGAAGCAAGGCCCTGAGTTCAAGCCCCAGCACTACCAAAAAATTGAAAATCTAGAAATGAAACTGCTGGAATTATTTTGCCTAGCAGATGAGCAAAGGTTTATAAGGCCAATCTTGATTGAAGTGTGTCAAGACAGAGCATAATGCTGGGTAGTATTTTGAAGGATCCCTTGACAGTGTGCGTCAAATGTATAACACGTAGCTTTTCAGAAGTCACATTTTGTGGTTATTCAAAGTGATACTTGAACAGTTTCTGAAGTAATATGGGGTGCTTTTACTAATACTGAGTTAACCTGGGACTTTAGGAAATAAAATACATGTGTATGTGTGTGCACACATACTGCAGCTTGAACTCAGGGCCTGAGTGCTATCTCTTATCTTTTTTGTTCAAGGCTGGTACTCCACCATTTAAGCCACAGCTCTACTTCTGGCTTTTTGATGGTTAATTGGAGATAAGAGTTTCACAGACTTTCTGGCCCAAGCTGGCTTTGAACCAAGATTCTCAAATCTCAGCCTCTTGAGTACCTAGGATTACAGGTGTGATTACAGTAGCTAGGATTACAGCTTTTAATAAGGCAAAATGTATTAAATTATAATAATTCATATAAAGGAATACGAAGGAGTTGCAAAGAATAACCATGGTGACCTTTATTTCCAAAATCTACCTGTATATTAAGGAAAATTTAAAATATGTTTTGGAGGTGTATATAAAGCAAAAATCTCATTTATGAAAAATGTAGAGCTAAATATATACATAAGTATGTAAATGTGCAAATGGAATAGAAATAATAGCTATAATCTAGTTCCTTTGGGTTTTTAAGACGACTTTTGTTCATTCTCTGATGCTTTCCTTTTTATTTGTTTTTTCTTAAACTTCTGAACTTTTTGCAAAAAAAAGCATCATTTTTACCAGAGCCATTTTCAAAAGAAAGTAAAATTGTTTTCTGCCCATAAATCTGACTGCCTAGCAATCAAAGCATGAATAGAAGACTCATCTTTCCACATTCTACAAGTAAACCATTGGATGTATCAGCTCAATGCTGGTGCAACAACCATAATGCAAACTGGCCTCATTCATCTGTAGTCATGTGTATGGATCTTCTCAGGGCCTCCTGATACTATCATGTGGGAATCTAGCAGCCACCACCACTTAGCAGCTTTGTAACCTTGAGCAAGTTCCTTAGCCTCTTAGGCCCTGCCCTGCTGTTCATCATTCATTAGGGATAATGGTTAGTTGGAAATGAGTCTCATTTTCCTGCCCAGCCTGGCTTTGAGCCATATTCCTCATATCTCAGCTTCCTGAGTAGCTAGGATGACGGGTGTGAGCCACCAGTGGCCAGCTCCAAATCAGACTTTCAGTCTGACTTTTCAGATGTACTCCTGCGTCCCTTCTGTTCATATTTCATTACCAGTCATCAGCCACATCTACCTTCAAAGGAGCAGGAAAATACAAACAGATCACCTACCCAGAAAGCCGAGTGGAATATTTGTGAACAA